CTATAAAAAACATTTTTGGGCGGGAAATGTTTACAAAAAGAAAAAAAGAATTTTAATTTTGAAAAATAAATAAATACATGTTCAAATAAGTATAGAAACCAAGTCGAATTTGTCAAATGTATTGAACTGGTGATCACAGGTTGAACAGTTGACAGCTATAGGCCTACAGCTTTCATGCTTAAAACATAACTTGGTTTTCTGATGGATTTGGACATAAACGCGAGTGAAGTATAACCTGACGCGCGAGAGAGAGATCAGCACCTGCAGCTCTGCCCGCTGTGAGGGACCGGTGAGCGGAGCAAAACAAACCTTTAGACCTAACACACTTAGCTATGGCACTGTCGAATACATTGAATTATTCCATTTGATAATATGTAATCAACTTAGGCACCCCACCCAAAAAAAATATATTTAAAAAGGAAAAAGAATTACAATAAAAATATTCATAACTCATATTCGAATACCTGAATAATTTCGAATATTCGATTAATCGTTCCCATCCCTACACAAAACACAGAATTATTTTTGAATTTGCTATTCAAGCGATCATTATGATCACGATAAACCTGCTAAGTCTATCAGTGAGTGACAGGCAGGGCAGGGGTTGGGGTTTCCAACCGACTTACTCTGCAGATATGTACAGAGCACTGTCATACATTTCTTTTCTTTTTTACTTAATCAGAAACATTTTTTACTTACGGGAAGAAGATAGGATATTGCGCAAGCAACAGTTATAATCTGGAAAGAATGTCCATTTCTTATGGAAACAAGAACTGCATGAACTCCACAATATGATAAAGAATTCCAAGTTCTTATAGAGGAGATAAAACATTCTACTTACTTCCAACTTATCGTGTCCACAACTGTCTGTTCATGAGACCATTATGTGTAATTACACGTATCTGTAAAAAGTAGGAGTCTGAAAGGTGTATGTCAGAAAGTACCTCGAAAGAATGTGTCTGCTATCAAATGGTGTATCACTTTTGGAAACATACACTTTTGAAGGTGATATGAAGGCCTTATGTGTTTATTATACACATAAGGCCTTTCGCCAGATAAGATAAGAAATGACCAGACTCATTTAACACTTACTAAACTGCCTCAGACAGTGCATGTTCCTCTTTTCCCTTTCAGAAACTGGACATAGCACTTAATATTTACATGACTCACCTCTAGGTTTGGCACCATAAGCAGATTGGAGATTGCTGTTGTATCGCTTATCAAACTGTTCCAGTCCAAAAGGTCCATTGTTCTGGCAAGAAGAGAAGAGAAAAATGTTAAAATAAAATATTACTCACTAAACAGGTTTTCAAGAACTTAAGCCCAGGGGCTTTTTTGTGTTTGCTTATCTGAAGTATTTGCACTAATGAGTGTTTATCTTACCCTGACAAACCCAGCTTCTCTCCAGTTATCCAGTTCTCTATGTCGTCCTTGGCTCCAACACCCATTTTAATCAAACTTTCCTAAAAACCAAATCAGAATCAGAAACGGTTTTATTACCAGGTAGGTTCACACGTACGAGGAATTAAACTTGGTGTCGTGGTTTCATGAATAAGAGTAAAACAAGAATTACAAAACACAGATAGAGAACTATTTTAAGAACACTATAGTAATGTTAAAAAAAACAAGAACAAATATAGGAACATTAAAAATTAAATAAAGCAAATGTTTCAATCATTAAAAACATTTCAGCCAAGTATTGTTTTAACAAATGCTCGGGAACTTTAAGTCACTAAGGCACAAGCACAACAGGTAAGACCCACCTTGAGTTGTTCCAGCTCCAGCTTTTGTTCCAAAACATTCATGTCAGATTTTCCTTGTTGTGCTGAGAGGACTTTAAAGAATTGCCTCCATTTAACCAGGACTTCGGAAAACTGGAGCTGTTCGAACACAAAACAATTCATAAAATACAAATGCACTAAACCACTGCATTTGAATCATCCTGAGATGTAGTTAGTATGACACATCTCTACTCTATTCTCTTAAAAACAATCTTCATGCTCACTGTCTCTTACAGAAACATACTGTTCATTTTTATCTGAGAATGTTAAGACAGTGTGACTTGTTTCTCCCTTGACACATTCTTTTTTTGTGACCAACTTTTTTTTTTTGCTCTCTGTTACGACCCTGGTCATTATGTGTATTGTGTGTAGAGATTTTTCCCTCCTCCTGTGTCTGTGTGTGTGTGTGTGTGTGTGTGTGTGTGTGTGTGTGTGTGTGTGTGTGTGTGTGTGTGTGTGTGTGTGAGCAAGCAGGTGGTGCCCGTTAGCTGATTAGCTACCTTCAACAGGCTGATTGGTCCACCTGGGGAGACGGGAGGATATTTAACTACAGCCGTGCAGTTCCTCGGCCGCTCTCTCTGACTCGACTTCTCCTACTCCCAACACTGTTGCGCACTTTGATCGTGTACCTTGTCAGTCTCTCCTTGCGGGGAGACTTAAGAAAGTAAGCCACTTTACCCGTCTTTGCAGACACGCTGTATTCTTTACTCAGGAGTGCAAAACCCTTTGTCTTTGGTTAATTCGTTTTCTCCTGTTTAATGTTAGTATAGGTAAGAGTCTTGTATGTTTGTTTTCTTATTTGTTAGGCAAGATTTTGTGTTCAGAGATTTGTTTGTTTTGTGGGTTGTTGCACTTGTTTGTTAAAAAGAAAACTTTGGTAATTAAATTTACCAAACAGCATTCACTGTCTCATGGTCTATGTCCTTGGGAGTGGGAAAAGAGGAGAGAGTGCACATGCTATGCTGCGCCTAGGTTCCCCTAGATCTGGGCGTAACAGTTGCTTTGCACACAAACATCTGCAGCTGCACCCGAAAAAAGAAAGTACAGCATAGACTCCAGCTGACAAAAGACAGATAATAAAAGTCCTTATGAGTCGGTATCTATTGTACTACCTGGGTGTAGGAGCTGTGGTTGGTCCTCAGCGACAACAAAGTGTCCAGATGTCCTCTCTCGTCTGCTGGCCAGTGATCAGCTGACAAATCACTATTCCACTTCAAGGAGCACTTTACCTCAACCACCTCCTTCCCACAGCAAAC